AGCGTCCCGCAACACAGAGAATGACCACACAGCTCCAATGTAAGCTAAGCTCCAAAAGCAAAAGCTGCTCCACGATCCATGTTGGCACTCCTCCACCATGTCATCTTATCATTGTTTCAAAACGCTGCTCACTCTGGAATAGAGAATAGCGAAAGACATCGCTCAAGCCCTCTCACTGCAGCACGGTGCAGCGCGAAAGCATGAGTCTTACAAAGCAGACCTCAAGCAAAACAGTCACTGCAGCACCACAAAAATTCCCCCTTACTCAAACACTTCAACACTCTCTCAAACGTGCCTTGTTGCAAACAGAATGCTTCACATCATTCACGACTCCATGCACAAGTCCAACAAGCGAAAATCAACTGCAAAGCACAACATCCGGACTCTTGCTCACAAGTTGAGGAAAAACATGCGCATAACTCTTGTGCACTCAGGAAAAAGAGCACATGGGATTGTGCTCAGGGAAGAACTATAGCCCAACAGCCACAGGTTCTTGTTCTTTAGGATGCCACGAGCACACGGAAAAACAGATTGAAAACGCGCGCTACCATATTCATATGATAAATGTTTAAAGCAAGGCCAGTATGGCACGGTGGTGGCTCATTCCTGTGGCATCAGCACAAGACTGCGAAAGCAACAACCAGCAACGGTCCGGTGCCAATAGTAGCACAAGCCGCAGCTGCAACGGCTGCAAGCCGGTCGACTGATGCTCTCACATATCCACAAGCAGTATCGCCAGGCTTGAAAGCGCGGTGAAATCTATAAGGAATGCAGCTTACTTTTAAGCTGCGGCCTGTGAAGTATCAAGGCCCTGCTCGTTCCAAAACCCAGTTCACGATATGCCCCGAATGAAGATCGCGAACACTCTCCACTGTGTACGTGCCCGCCACACCTGTGCGGTCTTTTGCGTTGCGGTCCAGGTTCGCTGCCGTGAGGACATGTCCCCAGTGCAGATCAGTGAGATCGACAGGCGCGTTGTAGCGAAGATTCGCCTTCTTCCACTGCTGCTGTTTGCTACCGGACCTGAAGACATCATACCCGGTATTCCCGCTTGTACAAGCACACAAGTAGGAGTCTGAACCCGCCAGCGACAGTCGAATGAACTCTTCGCTCATGTTGGCATGAACTTTGAACACAGCACGCCCATGTTGTGGCCCGACCACCGCAAACTTGGCATAACTTTTCCACAGCCATAGATCCCTTCCATCCACTTTGATGTAGACACTGTCACCATTTTGCAAGGCGGCCGCGTGCATGGAAGTTTCCTGGCATCATGTTGTTAGTCTTCAGAAATTGATGCTGATCTAGTGGAAGGACCAATGATCCTACAAGTGCTCAAACCATCGAGGGCCTGTCGGTCTCGCTGCAGATCGTAGACAAAGCACGATTTGGCAGATGAAACAAACAGCAGTTCTGGAGATCAGGTAGGCACATGAAAGCAGTCAAGGGAGTAAAGGGCGGAGGCAAAGACCAGCTGAGGAAATGCAACAAGTTGACTAAGTTGACATATTCCGAACTTTCCCACCGCGCCTTCTGTCCAGGACCCCTTGCGATGCTGTACCCTCCAACAAGGGCCTCGGCGATTTAGAAAGTGTACGTTTTATGGCAGGCCAGGATTTTCAGGACCTTCCTGTCTGCAACTGAATACAGTGGTGCAACAAGTGGGCTTTCTCAGAGTCCCAACTGCTTAAAACTAGAGTCTCTACACCAGGTTTGAAAGTGAGAAGACGTCCTTACTCACATTTAAGCTGTGAATGAACAAGGCGCTGCTCGTTCCAAAACCCACTTCACGATATGCCCCGAATGAAGATTGCGAACACTCTCCACTCTGTACGTGCCCGCCACACCTGTGTAGCCTGTTGCGTTGCGGTCCAGGTTCGCTGCCGTGCGGACATGTCCCCAGTGCAGATCAGTGAGATCGACAGGCGCGTTGTAGCGAAGATTCGCCTTCTTCCACTGCTGCTGTTTGCTACCGGACCTGAAGACATCATACCCGGTATTACCGCTTGTACAAGCACACAAGTAGGAGTCTGAATCTGCCAGCGACAGTCGAATGAACTCTTCGCTCATGTTGGCATGAACTTTGAACACAGCACGCCCATGTTGTGGCCCGACCACCGCGTTTTCGGCATAACTTTTCCACAGCCATAGATCCCTTCCGTCCACTTTGATGTAGACACTGTCACCATTTTGCAAGGCGGCCACGTGCATGGAAGTTTCCTGGCATCATGTTGTTAGTCTTCAGAAATTCATGCTGGTCTAGTGGAAGGACCAATGATCCTACAAGTGCTCAAACCATCGAGGGCCTGTCGGTCTCGCTGCAGATCGTAGACAAAGCACGATTTGGCGGATGAAACAAACAGCAGTTCTGGAGATCAGGTAGGCACATGAAAGCAGTCAAGGGAGTAAAGGGCGGAGGCAAAGACCAGCTGAGGAAATGCAACAAGTTGACTAAGTTGACATATTCCGAACTTTCCCCCCGCGCCTTCTGTCCTGGATTGCTTGCGACGCTGACTTTTTTAGCAAGGTCCTAAGTGGGCTTTCTCAGAGTCTCAGAACTGCTTGAACTAGAGTCTCTACACCGAAGACCTGATCAGTTGAAATCGCAAGCCACGCACGAATCTAATGCAAACATATGCATATCCGACACCCTGCCTCGAACTGCTCTCGAGGGCCATGCAGCACTTTCGCGATGTGGGCAGCTATCCAGTGTGCATCCTTGCCCTGGCAGTCCATGTGGACCTTGGTTGGTAGGAATACAGAGCTGAGCAACCCGTCGACCAAGTCGGCATTCTCATCGCGGGGACAGTCAGCGTAGGGCTCCGGTGGCCACATGTCGCACATTTTCAACGGGAGGATATCGATCCCATACACGTGCGCAAACTTGAGCTCATGATGTGAGGAACACACGCTCTTCGTGACCGCACCATAGTGCGAAGTGCACACGGAGAGCAACACGCCCTTGTTGAATTTGAGCTTTCCAAGATATTCCTCGGTAAGGGTTCCGAAGTCAGCACCCACTGGTGCATCCACCATTAAAACCGGGTAGTTCTTGTTCTTGAGGATTTTGTGGACTTCCCGGAACAGCCTCTCCGGCTCCTCCCCGTCGAATCTTGCCGAAAACATCCCGACACGAGCTGCCGTGCCATCAGGCAAATCCTCGGCGACATGCTCCTGGCCCGAAGCTAGCGAGCTGCTGATGAAACCCAAGCACTCCACGTTCCCCCGACCTGTGACCTGGACACGCTCGAACTTCCTGCCGCAAGGAGGGCTTCAGCCATCGCTTCGCACCTGTTCAGCCAACAGCAATGATGGCAGCTTCGGCTTGTGCATTCAATATCAGTTGGATCCAACGTCACGTGACTGCGGAGGTTGGTGCGGCCGAGGCAGAGGCGCTCGCAAGGAATCCAAACGTCGAGGACAATCTGCAACTCCGATGGGCTAACTGCAAGCTGGAGCCAAGCTTCGAGGCTCCGACAAGATGGAGACCGCCGCGGCTTATCCTAAGACCAAAAAAAGTGTTCGCTGTAAGAATCGCGCAGAAATGCCATCCTGCAGGTCCGGGGTTCTTCGGGTTTCGCCCTTCGTTTTCATCCCGGACCTCCAACAAGCCCTTTCAGCACGAATCTTTTCGGCGGATCTCTCCGCTTTTTTTGGCCTAAAGGGCAATTTGTTTTGAGTCTCTCGGTTTGCTGCTTTATCTTTGTTTCGACTTTGATTTGCATTAGAAGTACAAGAATTCAATAGCTCTAAAGGGTCAACAGGGTCTTTACTTAAGAAAGAGTATGGGTGCCGGCTTGTTTTGCGTGGTAAATCGCGATGAACACTGGTTATGCGGATTTTCGTTTTTCCTGCCAGCTACACTTTCTATGCTACCCGATGCTACCCACGCTACCCATTGTTCATGATTTCCGCTGGCTATATTCCTTGGGATGGAAGCTCAGCACAGTTGAAGACCTGCTCTTCTAAAGGCGAGCCTCGGACATCTGGTCATCGAAAGAACGTAAGATTGTTGTGGCTGTGATTGCTTGCTGCTTGAAGTTTTTATTGTGTGAGGCCTGTTGTTTAGTGGTTATGTCAAGAAATGGCCTCTGTGCTGCCAGTATAGGGTTTAGGGTTTAGGGGTTTCTGTTGGGTTTAGGGTTTTAGGGACGATCAGACCTATAGGAGGTCCCCCTTAGGTCCGAAGGCTCGGACTTAGCAGGGAAGTTGCTAGAAGGGAGGAATGGTGTAAGTTCACAGCTACACATTCGTCCGTTACGAATGCACCTTAGGTTAAGAGTGGAAACCAAGCACTGCACGCTTTCTTTTTCACATTGGCGGAAAGCAGATCCCGATCGGCTGCAGCTAGGAAGCACCGGACAAGCAAGCCGGGCAGAAGAAATGCTGGACCGGAGTACGGCGAGCCAGGACCCACAGGTAGAGTGGACACAAGCGATATAAAATGCCAACCTTGAACATGGCGGAATGACGGTATGGCCTGGCATGACAAGGGAAGTGCAAGGATTGGCTCAATGATTCACCTGTTCAAGCAGGATGGCTGGCGCACGGGCTAAGGATACTCAAGGAAAGCAAGAGACAGCGATCCGTCGCGTTTGAGTACGGCCGTAGCCCACCCAGATAAAATGGGCTTGAGCCGCAACCACTCATTCTGACGCTGGGGATCCTGAAGTTACTTGAGCTCATGTGCACATGAACGCCCATGTGAAGCAAGATCGGGCTTCCTACCATGGCCAGACATAGCTACAGGGAGAGTGGGAGGAGAGTTGCAGGGTCCTTGCCCATAGCCAAGCCTCGTGTGGCATGACACGCAACAGTGAGCAAACCCGGAACCACCCGTACCTGTGCTTCAGGAGTGCAGAAATCAACACTTGGGTCCACTTAGTGGGCAAGCCGCAAGAAGAGCGTACAGTGAAGCAATTGGAACCACTGAACGGGGCCTCGCCCTTGAGGATGCTCTCTTTCCATCCATGGCAGCTAATACCCTCATTCACCTTTGGGAGGCAGAATTCTCTGATCTAACAAAACAGCAGCTTCGCCTGTCCAAAGGACGGCTCTGGGTTTGTTTGGCGTGGCGCGATTGTAGGGAAGGAGTTGGCAAAGTAGTCTCGCTATTGTGTCCTCCGACCCTACTTCACGCAGGTACACTCATTGAGGTGATCAACACTTGGGAGAGAGAAATCGGTGTCAACCCGCCGGTGACGAAACCGACCTTCGCAGGCCAAAAGAACCTGCAGGCGGTGTTGGATATCTGTGTAGCAGCCACCACTGATTGTATCTCTGCACGTTTTTTGCAGCCGGGACGCGTGCAACATGGCGCACGTTGACAGCCTACCGTCCTCGGTGAGCACGGTCGTGACCCACCCTATTTAACTTGAGCCGAAATTTCGTCGCCACCATATTCACAATGCCCATATCTGCCTGCGCGGGTTAGCAACCGTGGCGACTTTCCTGCGCTTGGTTTCCCTCTGTACTTCAATGTCCAAAATGTCGAAAATTTCAAGGTGAAGACTTTTAGAAGGGCGCTGGGAGGGTCGACGTCTTGAGTCGGGTAGCGCGGGGTTGCCACAAGCGACTCCTTGGTGGTGTAGTTGGGGAAGCGTTTCCTCGAAAGCCGTTTTGATTTTCGTAACCTCAAAAACTCGGTTTACATCCGACAGGATTTCATGCGGAATAGGCCCATCCAAGATGCCCTGGGAAATGTCAAGGAGGTCAGCAATGGCACCTTAAACTCCTTCTAGGAAAGGAGGGATGGCACCCTCATGCCTAACATAAATGCCATCATGTACCCACAAAAGAGATCCTGCGCAGAAGGGGAGCATAGCTACTATGCCCTGCCGCATGACTTTGCTCTCTGCCGCTTCAAGGGTGAAAGTAACCCAATTCCTATCAGTAACTCGCTCGTCAACCGCATAGAAAGGGAGCCCATATTCTATGAGTTCCTTGAGGGTTCTTCTGGCTTGGCTGAGCTGGTTCAATAAATGCCTTAATTCAGGCGCTATGGCAAAGGCTACAACGCTACCTTCAAAAGCATGACGCAAGAAGGCAGTGGAGTCCATTCCAACTGCACTTTGCAGGAGGTGCTTGGGCAGCACACTTTGTGCTTGGCTCAGAGTAGTACGAAAGATCTCACGCGCCTCGCTTAACGGTGCAAGGGGTTGGTGACGTCTTGAGGCGCAGGCGAGCATCCGAAGGAGGGTATAATGAGAACCTTTCATATCGATGTCATAAGCACTGGGGCCCAGGGCAAGGAGGCGAATCTGCTTATTGCTCGTGTCGGATTGCACACGTATACAGGACCAAACCAGGCCAAGGCCAAGTGGTTTGGCAATATTGGATCAGCAGCTCTCTCTGCCCTCTGCCAAAAGAGATTGTCTCAGCCGCTGCGGTAAGATCTGTGATGATCTGTGCGTGCTTGTTGTTTCCATTCCTGCGGCAGCACGATAATGGGTGGAAAGGTGTTGGTATTCACCTCCATGTCTGACCTACCTTCGTTATTGTTGAAGAAGACATTTTCTTGTCGCCCCAGGTCCAACCTGAGGCTGTCAGCTGCTAGGCCTGCAAATGATCAGCGACTCGGTTGCCTGCCCTAGGCACATAGGACCCGTGAACTTTGACAGATGTTTGCGAAAGGGCTTGCCATATGGCATCTAGCTTCCGCACAAGATCATCCCTACGCAAACGGTTGGTTCCCGCAAAGTGCTTTATGATGGTTAAGCAGTCGCCCTGAATGATGACCTCAGAGATATTTCTGGACGTGGCGCAGTGGAGCAACTTTACAATGGTTTCATGAGCCGCATAGATTTCCGCATACGTGGAGTCTTGACATGGTTGCAACGGAACAGCGATGGTTTCTAATATGATTGGAACAGGCCCAGGGGCCACACCACTCCACCAGCACCTCCAATACTTTCTTTGGCGTGGCAACTGCCGTCAAATTGGGCGACCAAGTGTGTTTCCTGCACGGGTTTAAGCTCCACAGTGCGGTCAGGGCAGGAATTGGCCTAACGGCTGTGACCTGGAGGTGCAAACCATTCCCAAGCGAAGGGCCAAGGGTGGTCCAGGCACAACCCCCCCTGCGAAGCGCCAGAGGGGGGGGGGTTGAGAACTAGGAGAAAAGGGAGGATTTGTCTTGCCGATATGACGGAAGAGTGAACAAGTGCGGGCCGACTGAAACGTCCAAAACTCGAAAGAGTAGGCGTTGGGCTTTCTCCTAACCGACCGCCCCTCCACTCCTCCTCCTCCCCCCCCTCGAGCATCATGGTTACAACTCGTTTGGTCCGCTTTGCTACCCAAACATCGCTTGTACCCTAGCTGCTCGAAATTCCAACGTTTGAAAACCCGAAGGGTTTACAACTATACAAGGGAAGAAGGGGAGCCCCAATCAATGGAAACTGAACGCCACAAGACTGTCAAGCAAAAGCACACGCGAAGCTTGGTTTTGGACGCATCGGCCCGGGAGCTCAGAACTCGGCGTCATTCTCGAAGAATGCACCGAACGTGGCACTACTCGTGTGAGTGGCCGAAGACATCCTCTGGATCAGCCCCCTTCAAAGACGAAGGCCACCACCTCAATGGGATTTTTCAAAACGAGGCCCTGTTGCGATGCCTGAAGCTGAAAGGGATTTTGCATCCAACAGGGCCTCACTGAAATTGCCATAGGCCAACAACGGCCTTAGCACAGAAAGGTCAATCTCCGACCACTGACATTTTAAGCGCAAATCTGGGTTGAAACCTTCCAGGCGATTTTTTGTGATGTTGTCAGCCTCTACGTTCGCATCCCGAGGTCTCCAACTCAAAAGACATCTGATTCCCATCACATCGCAGCTGCACTCATACTGCATCAAAACGAACATCAACGGAACCTTGGTGGTGAGCATACGTTGAGTTACGGCCTCAGTGGCACGGTTGTCTGTGCCCCCCGCAAAGGTCGCCTTCAAACAGCCTGGACATTGCCATAGCGAGCCGAACTCTCGACGTAGCAGATGTCGCGCAACCAGCGAAGAGAGGAGCTCCGCTGAGGTGCTTGCCCAAGTGCTGGTACCTTCCCTGAAGAGCCACGGAACTTCACTCGGACCTAGGGCCCTAGAGTCAGCTGAAATCAGGGAGCTTTCGCGGACTCTCCACCAAGATGCAAGAACCATCCTCCTAGCACCACCTGGTCCTCATCGCAAGCGGCGTCCGTCCGGAACAGCTCGCCCAGGTCCCTTTCGTTTACCCCGGCCGGATAAGTATGCACGCCCGCCTTCAACCGGTCCACGATGAACTTCAAGGTGCACCTGACGAGGTTGGGTAAGGCCAACACGGCCCCTTTCGGGACTGCCGCCAGCCAGGCGTAACCAGGGGTCAGAAAAGGTTTTATCCACACCAGCGCTTGAGACATGAAACCCAAACGTCCATGCAGCTCGTGGTATCTACGGACATCTACGAGCCATCCCTTGCCCTCGATGGATCCAATACTCGGGACAATCCAGGCACAGCGTTTCTCGGAGATGCCGAGGTGAAAAAGGGTGTAGTCGACCCAGTATCCGACCCAGTCCAGCTCAAGTCCGCCCTGCCATTTTTTCTCCGAAAAGGGGGTGCCCTGCCCACACATGAAGGCCAACATCATCCAGATATTGAGTTAGCGGTCTCGGCCCGCACTCAACAAGTGAAGATCATCCGCGTAGATCAGCATGAAGACAAAGGCTTGCAGCATCACTCTGAAAGAAAGTCTTCCAACCAGCCCGATCAACCTGGAGAACCGGAAGGCAGCAGAGGCCACCCCAAAGGTCCCTGTCCTGTTCAGCCAGACCACCGGGGAACTTGAGTGCGTCTTGCAAGCCAGTACCCCCAGTGCTCAGAATGATGGAGGTACCTCCTGTGCGCCTTGGACACATCCCCCACGAGGCCGAAGTAAACCTTCTCCTCCGTGACAACCCCAAGCTTCTGCAAGGCCGACCTCCCTCGAACCAGGAGATTCCAATCTGTCCCTCACGACGATCTCATTATTCACCCGGACTCCATGGGTACCGTCATGGACGACCCAAAAGTCCTGGTCTTGTTTGGGAATGACAGCTTGCGCAGCAATCCTGAGGGCCTCGCCAGGATAGCGCCTCTGGGCTTCGGCCACCGACAGGGGAAACATACGCCCCTCCAGCTCCTCCTTTTCAAAAGCGGGCTGCAAAGCCTTTGCTACTTCAGGGCCGTCCTTGTAGTTCTTCATCTCCGGCTCCCACAAAGAGTCGTCATACTTCTGACCTTTCACCCGCCTTCGATACACTTGCGGGCGCGGACCGAGAGGTCGAGTATGTCCCACTTCAACCCCATTGCAAAAACAGAATTTCCCATGCTCCAGTACCTCGAAGTCCGGGTCCTCCAGCAGCTGCAACGTCTGTGACATAGCCCTCAGGAAGAAAGGCTGATTCGGAACAAGCTCATGCGCGCGTATCGGATCGGTCAGCATGTTGAACCAATCCCCCCGCAGCTCCTCCATCACCTCCTTCGAGAAGAGGGGCCCACTCCAACGACCAGTCGCAAGACGAAATGTCGACCTCGCCAACTCACAAACCGACGCACCATGTCCCGAAGTTCCTCCGTCCTCGCCTCCTGTGAAAGACGAAGGCCCCTGTTCATCGGCTTCCACCGCCCGGGGAACAGCGACCGAAGCCATCCACGAACTCGTCCTTGTTGCCGGCAAAAGTCGCCCACCAGCGGTGGACCTTCGCACCCGGACCGGACCTCATGAAAGGGAAGATCCCACCTCCTCTTCCAGCGTAGTTCCGCACGGTTCTTCAGCAGGTCTCTTTCTTGTTCAATCCTGGAAGCCGGAAACCCAGAAACAAAAGCCTCTCCCTGTCCTCCTGCTTCAAGAGACCGTCTTGAGAAATCGAATACCATGCCAGGACCAGCCTGCAGCCGACCCAAGGCTCCGTGGAATGCCATAGATGGGGATCGAAGACAATCTACAAATGGAACCCCTGAACTGTTCGCCTCCAATCACACGTAGTTCACTGCCGCCATCGCACTGAAGCCAAACCTCCCCTCCTTTGAAGGAGGAGCAAGCCAGAAGGAGGTTGTCATAATTTCTGTGAGGGGGCTGCTGAAGATCCCTAAATAAGGCCATCGAGGTGAAGGCCCCGTCCCGGAATTTGGTCGTCAGCAGTCTCGTCAGAAGTTCTGTCGCACAAGGAAAACCAACCGTATTGCGCCTCAAGCCGACCTTCCCATGACGCTGATAAGCCCCCGTAGTGAAAGACCTCTGGCCTGGGATCCTCACAAGGGAGTCGCGAACCCGGTCCTCGTCGACTAGAAGGTTTGAAAGATTCAGCAGCTGGGCCTCATTGACTGTACCTTCCGCCAAACACTGCGCTGCCAAAACCTCCGACTCCACATCTTCAGCCGCTGGTCCCGAAGTGTCCAACGGAGCCGTGCTTCCTCCCCCATCGAAGACGGAGAAGACCCACTTGGCAATGGCTTCACAAAGGTCCGCAGGGTAGGCAGCTGCCAAAGTGGCACGCCAACCCCCATTTGGATGCTCACCGAGCAGCGAAGCATGGCGTCGGTGTCCACAAAAGCGAGGAAGAGGACCCAGGTAACGCTCATCAGCGTCAAAGCGTGGAGGGCCCATAAAGGCCATGCAGCGTGTAGACGACAGAAAACGTGTGGGCTTGGGGAAGTCCGCACCATAAGCACACTGAAAAATGGCAAAGCAGGACGCACGCTCATGACTCTGTAGCGCAGTACTCGGGGTGCTCCAAGAGGAAATCAGCGGAAGCGTCCAAGGCAGCATTGCAAGCATCGAAGGAGAACTGAACAAACTGATTTCCCTGCGAAGCCAAGGCACGAAGTTGGTCCGAAAGCCAAGGAAAACCAAAAGGAAACAACCTAGACGAACAGGCTTTGACCCCGATTCCCTAATAAAAGAGGTTACTACCCTTGGCACTTCGCACCTCATTGATGGCAGAGTGGTAGAGCTTCTCACCAACCAAGCTTCCCTGCCCGAACCCATTGAAATGAACACGCACCCTCTTAGAGACGTGTGGGTTAAAGTGAAGGGAGCCTGGATCCAGACTGAGGAAGCGGTTGCCTGGGAAGAACTCAAGAAGATGGATAAACCCATTGATCCTAAAGCCGAAGCGTGCCTTGTTGTCTATCGCAGGTCCACCATGGACTCTAGACGCCACGCTGACGCGGAGGCTTTCATGCACCGCGAGATTGAAGGCATTAGGAATGCGGGGGGTCGGTCCTCGGAAGAGCTTGCACCTAAGGGATCTGACAAGGACATTGGACTTGTGGTTTCAGTGCCTCATTCTTTTTTTTTGGGCACATCTGCAATCAGCCTCACGAGCCTCCTGCTAAGTCGACAAGTACCAGTCAGCACTGGTCAAATCATGCAAAGGGAACGGGGAAAAGTTGCTGTTGGGACATCACGTCACAGGCCAGGAGATATGCCATCCCAGCATGGAACAATAGAAGCGAGCGGCTTAACTTTGACACAGCGGTCTAAGGAAGCTATGTCACCAGAGACCCGAAGAACCCAAGCCAAGACCTTAGAATGATTGTTAAACTGTCTCGAACAAGTGAGTCCGGACTGATTTCCGAACCCGAATGACTTCATGTGTCTAATACCTACAATGTGTTCAGCAGCGACACCATGTTTGGCCAAAATTTGTAGAAAGACATCTTTGAATCTGCGAACAAATACTCCAACAGTCATCTCGTGATCACATATCCCTGCAAACAGGCCATATGTCGCCACAAATTCAACTGCGAGGGCCACCCACGTGGTCCTATCCAGTGTATGCTTAGTCCCCCACTTCCATCGGCCATCAGCAATAAAGGCGGAAAAAGCCGAAAGCGCATCATTGGAGATAGGAGCCCTCTTAATTTTAACAATGCCACAGTGCACCTGTTGAAGGGGAGGACTAAGAATACCGTTGAAAAAGACCACTCTTCGGAAGGCTGGATGGAGCGACCACAACCTCTCAGAGATCGAACTGTCGAAATTTTGCTGACGTGTAACCGCATTTAAGAACACTTGCTCCAACCTGCCGACATGCATAACGCAACAGGACTGTCTGCAGTTTGGTTTGCTCTTGCCCGTTACACGCTTAGCAGGGCGACAGGTACACGTACACGATAACTTCGCATTGCTGAAAGGTTGCAAGGCCCTATCATTACAAAGATCGGGGGCAATATCAAACTGCGACATATCTTTACGCGCAAGCAAGGTTGCCACAGCATGCGTTTGAATGTCGACTGCTCGATATATGAAAGGCTTGAGCTCCTGCAGGTTTGCCAAGAAAGCTTCACGGGCTTTTTGTTTGGCACTTCTATCAGCAAGAGCATTTCCACGCGTCAAGTGCGAAGGTTGCCCCGTGTATCCACTTGGCACATGAGCTTTCACCTTGATGAACTTGATATCGCAATCAAGCCTTTTGTGAACCTCATCAAGAAACGCGGCCCACAAGTCAAAATTATCGTAGTTTAGAATATCCTCGCGTCGATATCCATGTTGCTTGAGAGAGGTTGCCCTATTAACAACAGCTGCACAGTCGCTGACAAGCGTAACCGGCCCACAAGTGAGTTTCAGCGCCAACACAGCTGCATATAGCTCAGCACGTTGAGATGTGAGATCTCTTCCAGGAAGAGTCACCGCGATGTCCAACTTATCTGGAATTACAACGGCACAAGCGGCGGCACGTAAAGCTGCCCAGTTTTCATGGTAAGCAGATCCATCCAGAAAAATCGGCTCATCCACTGTGAAGGTCTCTGATATCTCCGGAAACTGAAGCAAAGAGTCATGGAACCTGCCTACTTTGTAGACTTCATGGGGGGCGAAAAACACTCCAGCAGTCCACGAAACTGCATCTTCATGACCCCTGATAGGTCTGGTGTTCGCATATAACGGGCACTCCATGAACAGGTGCTGATGAGTTTCAGCGCATTCTTTGCACCAGCATTCATCTGTGTGGGCCATGTCTGCTGCTTTGAGTCGCGGTCCTGTAAACACACCACCTGTCATAAGCAAGTCCAAAATGGCGCGGGTGTGGGCATGATTTGAAGGCAGTCGTTGTAGGAAGGGCTTTAAGAACTCAAAGTCCTTGTCGGATCGAAAATCTGAGTCTGCAAGAAATCTGGTCAAGAATATGTCAATATCTGAGATGTTTGATGAAAGTTGGCAGTCATGCCGACATGATACTTTTCGAAGAAGATACGTCCGGACTGCAACTCCGAGCTCATCCTTGAAGTGTTGAGAGCTTCCCGCTGCTAAGCAGATTTCTCCGCGCTGCGGGGTAAGGACAACAAAGTTTTCCGCATCAAGAATGGACCATCGCAGGTCCTGACATAGAAAGGCAAAGACGGCTGCTACACCATTGCTAGTCTGTTGCACTTTGCCGGCCAGACCCTGAGCATTAGCAAGAACCCGCACTGCAAGACCGGGATGCTTCCGAATCATCTTTCTAAGCTTGCAAAATGAGTGCAGAGCCCACTTACCAAAAGGGTCGAGAAAGGGGTCAGCACGGGTAGCCATACTCAAAAAGGGGCACCGAACAGGGTTCTTCTTAAATAAACAAGCCACAACAGCACGGCAATCTTTCGCAGCATCTGGCATGCCTTTGCAGCTCGTTCGTTTTGGATAGAGACGCTGCCTTTGAGCCTGCAAGACTGAGTATAACCCAAGGACTTGACTGTTTTCTTACGGCGAAAGCTCTGACGGCCTACTTCTCTAAGAAAACGGTCAGCTTTGGCTTGGCGCTTCGTCAACAATGTCGTTTTTTCGGGGTTCAGGACTTGTCCAATACTCTGATCGAACTGCTCAACACAGCTTAAAGCATTAGCTAACTCACCTCTGTTGTTTTCTGGGGTCCAAAACTTAGCATCGTCAATGAAAGACCGAAACGAAATCGAGGGACAGACATTGTTCAGCACAGTAGCGAACACCGCATACGCAGAGTTGATCATAACAATGGACACGCTACACCCTTGCACTGCAGAGTTGCTTGCAAGAACCCGCCTACCAAAAGCGCTACCTAATTTAAAAAACTTCGTCTGATTCGAGTAGAAACCAAGCGCGGCCCGATAAACATGTTCAGGCAACCCAAGACGTCTAGCAATCCCTAAGGACACTTGAGGGATAACTAAGTCAAAGCACTTGAACCGATCTAGAAACAGAGCCATGGTATCTGAATGGTCATTATGAAGGTCCATGGACAATAACCATTCTGAATCGTCTCCACTGCGTGCAGATATTCCACCGATCAAACTTGGAGGAAAGACAGCGGCCTGCCACTGCATCAAACGCCGAAATCGCAAAGATGACCAAAGTGAGTAAATGACCGAAGCAATACCGATGCACCTAATATTTTTAGGCGAAGACATATCAACACCTTTAGAGATAGAGGCAATGCTAACCAGGCGAAGCGCCGCTGGCCATACACCGGTAGCTTCAGCAACTTTCATAACAAGAGCAAACGGAATCCACCCAGAAGGAGGTAAATGCTGAAGTTCTGCAACCTTCCATCCGTCAAGGCCGGACGCCTTGCAACTACTCTTCTTTTTGAACATCTTGAACAAATCTACGTGATGGATTGCCGGAATATCAGCATCAGTTGCGATTTTATCCATGGCTTCATGATATTTCTCATAGAATTCAGCCTCCATTTGATCAACATCCTTATCCGCATGAAAGTTGTAGATTGTCTCCATGTGCTCTGAAATCATCTCAAGCATTTCGTTGGGATCAGATGTGATGCTACCATCTTCTCTACGAAAAAACCTAGGTTGACCTACACGCTCACCTTTAAGCCATCTATGAACCCGGGACCGGTTACCTCTAGCAGATAACTTAATCTTGTGCTTCCATTGATCAATTAGCTCTTGACTCCGAACCGTTTCACAAGCCTCAAGTTTTCTTATCAACTCCTCTTGAAGTGAAGTACAGGAGGCCTGCAATTCTAGGGACGAAGACGCGTTGAGTGACGCACTCACGCCACATTTCGCAGCTACTTTGGAGGCATTGAAGATAGTCGCAAAGAGCTGAGAGGTCCACTCAGGAGAAACACTCTGGTGCCATACTTTGGCTTTGTTGCGGATCTCATGGATTAGCTTTAGGGCAGTAGTGAAATTACATCGAGCACGCTTGCGCTTTCCATCCTTAAACAGCGGAGCCTGCCGGAACTCAGGAATACTGCCTCTAGTTGAGGGAACAGAATTGTCGGCAACTGTGTTGATCATGCTAGTGACTGCTTCACAAGCTGTGGCCCATAGTGCCTCTACATCAAGACGTTCAGCATGCTGTAGTAGGGAAGGCAAGTATGCTTCAAGTAGTGGTTTGACGATTGCATCACGGCTCTCCCATTCGCAATCTTTACGGGGTAGGGCACCAAATGACCACTTGGGACTAGGCTTGACAACCAAGATGTTGGTTCGAAAGGACTCAAGATTGAGGGTAATTGCTGTCGGCGAGTGATTGGGGAAGCCTGTATCCCGAAGTACCGACGCAGATTGAAAAAGAGGTAAGGCATACCTGTTAAGCAAGAAATAATCAATCCTAGTCTTTCCAAGCCCTGTATTGAGATGAGATGAGCCAGATTTTTGAAAGGTGTGCTCCACTTGCAATCCTAGGACATGTTGTTGTTCAGCGTAAACATCAAACCACTCATCAGCAATAAAGGAGTTGACAATAGACGTGTTGGCCTCTGGTGGGCTTTGGAAGTCACCGCACAACAGAATAGGCTGACGACCAAGGGATGCTGCAAAGTTGAAAACATGGTCCATCAGATCATTCCTCTCAGCGGCTGCAGCTGCCCCGGTAGGCAAGTAAAGATTAAACACGTAAACCCCAAAGCACCCAACAGAAACCCAAACTGCTTGGCAACATTCGTGTATAGAGGGGAAGGAATCGGGAATGGAAACCGGGACAGTGGTACAACTAGGCTTCGAAACGATGGCTAAGCCACCAGTGGGTTGGCGGTATTTCGCCAACTTTCCTCGAAGTCTCCGAGTGCTAGGCTGAGGCCCAGCATTTAACTTCCATCCCTTTTTCTCAAACCGTCGCGTCATGTTGGAAACTTTCGAAAGTGGGATTCTGCTTTCCTGCAGGAAAATACAACTTGCGCCGCCCTCAGTGCTAACATGAGCATCAAAAGTGGCGATGCGCTCAAAATGCTTGACACATGAAGTCACATTTGCTGATACCAGAGTAAGAGGCCCTTCACCTTTGAAACCCTTACACGGAACAAACACATCCCACAACACTGGGTCAGGAGAGGTACGAGACAGGATATCAGAGTCGCCAAAATAAGTCCCGGAACAGCAACAAAACAGCCCACGGATGGGCTCACACGCTTCAAACGGCGCTTTGCACCAGCAACCAAAGTGTTTATCAACACTCTGGATCTGAGAATAACAAATTATGTCGCGTCGATTCACGCTTTCAAGACATGTGTCTGCGCAATGGCCCCCGGCATCAACGCTTCGGTGATAAGGGGAGATTAAAAGACATGCGAAAGAGGGGCAACAAGAACAGGAGATGAACAGCGCCATTGCGACAGCCGAAGTTTTAGTTCTCAAAACTCGTCTCACCCTAGCCCGCTTAACCTTGGACTGAATCAGACCATAGGGATAACAGCAATAAACAGCTGAAACGACCAGCAACAGCCCAAGCAGCCAAATTTTAACGTGTAAAGTGATAGCGAACAACCAAGCGTACGCAAGTACCACACAGGCTACTCGGGCATCTCTTATGGCCGCAGATGAGACGAAGGCCAACAAGTCTACAAGTTTGCGTTTGGCGAATATTAAACTCGCTGCTGCTTCGTCGGCGGCGAAACCGGATGAGATGGGGAACCGTGCACAGCAAGACTACTGGACTTCAGCTCACTGATTGCTGCAAGGAGATCTCTAAAGCCAACATCTTGAGAGCTCTTCAGCTCCCTCAACTGCTGCTTGGTGTCAACTTGGTCGCTGCGCAATGCTTCAATGTCCTTGACTGCTTGTCCCAATTGTTTTTCGAGTACATCCACTCTGCCATGAATGACTGTATCCGGCGGCGGCAACAAGGAAGGACCTGTACGAACTGCGGCGAAATTGAGAGCCCGAACTGCAGTTGACCCTGACGATGTCGAAGACAATGGCGTCGAAGAATCTCCACGCGACTCAATTTGTGAGGAATCCTTCTTGCTGTTTTTCCGCGGCTGCCGCTCCTCTTCGGTGACGAGAAGGGTGCCTAGACTAGTGGCAACGCGAATCTGTTTTGGCACATCCGCTGCTGCCACAATGGCTGATGCAAGCTCCTGATAGTGAAAGATTCGAATGGGCACAACATTCCACTCAAGCGACTTTGCGGCGGCAATGACCTCCTTCATAGAAGACCCGGAGGGCAGCCCTTGCAGCCGGAACATCTTGGAACACTTGACGGCGGAATTGTCTTTGTTGAATCTCTCATCTCCTGGGAACCAATGCTCTCGAGCAGCTGCTAAATGGTCATCTGCGACTTTGGCATACGTTGCTCCCTGAGAAGCGAAGACGCCCAGGTGCCCCTCAATAGCTTCACCGACCTTGAAGAATTCAGCGAGATTGCGCTCACCATGCACCCTCATAACTTCCAGCCCAGCTTCACGCGGATCCCGCGGGCCCCGAATTGCACGACATTGAATGGAACAAGCGCCTGAGCGACAGTACACTTTGTCTCGAGCATGACTCGGAACTTGAACTCTGCGCACCAAGTACTCTTCTTTCGCAATGGCTTTGTGCAACACGGACTGGTCTAGGAAGCCCAAGGACTTCAGCAAGGACTCAACATAAACGCTAAAAGCTGCGATTGTTCCATATGCCTTCCAATCGGAAGGCGCTGCCTCCTGTTTGCGCATCTCAAACAACAGTGGCAGCTTAAACTCATCGCTCAGCTCAAGCTCATGGACACTATGGGTTTTGCTGATAAAGTCCAGTTCATCCACTGCAAGGTTCACCAACGAAACTGCCCGGGCTTCTAGTAGTGAAGCGGTGCCATCCCACAAAGAGAGGACAACTTGTTGAACTCTGTTTGACGCGATCCCGAGGGCGGTAATCTTCTGTGAGATGAACCCTTTCAGTATGACGGCACATGGTCTGCTGGTGCGGATCGCTGCGATTTCCTGCAACCTAGCGAAGTTCACGAAAGCAAAGCCTTCAGACATCTTATTGATCTGGGCTGCAGGAATAGAAGCCATTCCCGCGCAAGGCGCCCCAGTAACAAGAGACAACTCACCTGGATCTGACAAGGTGATCCCACAAGCATCGTTCTTTGTCTCCCATGCACATCGCTTGGCTGCCATGGGTACGTCCAAGTGGCCACCCCTACTAAAGAAGTTAACAGAAAACAATCCCCGAAACCAATGACACTCAAACCACGGGGCAGCCCCTAGGCAGTAAACGACGACAACACAAGCGACATAAGCAAAGGTGCACATTAGCCTCATCAGCCCCTGAGTTGACAGCTACCACTACGTGGAAGTTTGCACCTACGGTAGACCTGGTGGCCACGCCACGGCATCTGAGCCGCGACAGCTGTTTCAGTGCCTCATTCAATTCAGCCTGTTGTGCTTGAGGACAACCAAGCCACCATTAGGATTCTTGAGTCCGGTAGATCCCCAGCCTTTCGTCATGCCGATAAAACGCAGAGGATGAACCTGGGATGGATTTCTGAACAATTTAGGAGAAAACACTATGATCTTGCGTACATCAGCACTCTGTTACAAGCTGCCGACATCCTCACCAAGCCTTTCACGAACGCTGAGAAGTGGTCTCGAGCGCTTGCGCTTATGGCCATATCGCATATCAAGCTTGGCGCGAGGAAGTCTGGCGCAGCCCTGCTGACGCAGAGGTCTCCTCCTTTGCGCAAGCGGTTGATCATTGAAGTGTGTTGTGGCCTCGCTAAATGACAAGTATAAAGATTTTAAGGTCGTTCGCATTACTGAGTCCCTCGACTTGAACGATCCCAAAACCCGCAGGGAAGTTTTGTCCATCGCAAAAGGCCCACTTCGATGGATGTCGTTTCGGTCTTCGCACCCAATAGACCCGGTTAGACAAAAGAATCCCGAATCCTGATTTTGTAGGAATCAAGCGATTTCTTCGTTTTCGTCAAAGCGTTTCGTCTATATTTTCCGAAAATAGTTTTAAAAACAAGAGAATTTCGTCTATTTTCGTGCAGCGATTTAGACGAAAATGAGTTGTCGAAATCGTTAAAATCAGCCGATTTCGGGAAAACACGATTTGCCGAATTCGGGAAAATTTGTCGTTTTCGTTAAATTGTGGCGGAGCTAAACTGCCACCAAACTGCTTCGGCCCGCGGTTGAAACTGCTACAAGTTTTGGGTGGGCTTTTCTGGCGCCTGGAGCTTTGAGTTTGGAGAATCAGACGACCAACATCACTGCACCGAACCATATTTATGTTTTGTTTTTGCTCAGCATAACACATCAGCGGCTTTGCTTGTGCTTGTCTTTTGAGTCCCCAAACAACTTCTTTGGGCAGTGAGGACCTTGAGATTTCACCTTGAGAGTGTGACCACAAGAGTGACCTTGCGAGACCACCTTCAGAGCGACCAAGAGTGACTTTCTTTCTTTCCGACGCAGCAAGAGATACCAAGCTTAGCGACCACACATTGGCGGAGTGACCCGGCGTATAAACGCATACATGTACACAATGAAGTATGTACAATGCATCCAGAGAACGTCACGAATGACCAAAAAGAACTCAAAGCTACACCAGTGAGACATGCTCAAGTCAGAGGTAGAGGGAAGGAAGAGAACAGGGAGAGGGAGAAGATCTCGTTGCTCGCTGTACACTGTACACTGTACACTATACACTGTGCATCTTGCGTGGGACAAAGTGGCGCCGGGGGCAAGCCGAGCATTGCAAGGAAAATGCAGAGCAGAGCTCAGCTACCCTAGCGGAAGAATGCAATGAACCGAGAGCTGCTTGTTCAGTTGTCACAGTGACCTCAGCAGTGGCAGCATGACGCACAGGTCAGCCATAAAAGCAGCATTGGACCATTCATGGACCATTCATGGACCGTCGCAGCCCAAAAGTACGCAGTGCACAGCGGTTCAAGGGTCCGGAGAAGAAACGTGGCGACTGACTTTTTACTGCCTCGAAGATGAGCAGTATGTCTGCATAGAGCCCCACCCCGGCAAGAGCATGAAAGAGCCAACTAGGTGGCTAGACCCGCAGCAACAGGAATCAGCATTGCACTGATTCCGGCATGGGAACACAAAAACAATGATAGTGGGTACAGAACCAGGGGCCCACAGGGCTTCCCCGGATGCACCACAAAGGCTACATTGTGGTTCCAGCTCCCCTCACAGGTGAACGATCATGCCTTACCATCCAGAGCATGTAGCACCCATTTACAGTACTGACGTCTTCAAGTGATGTAAGTTGGGCACGTCTGTGATCGTTGGTGCCCCAGGTGCCTGAGCCCGATATGAGCACTGAGGTGTAATGGCCCTGTTCTGGTGAGTCACCAGTATGTACGATGACTGAGGCAAGCCTGTATCGTAGCCATCGGCAAGTCAGCGACTCCTCAAGAAAACAGGGAACGCGTACCAGGCGTGGTAGCTGAACAGCACAGGTGTTTTTCTCATAGGTCAGTCGTGCGGAGGGCTGCAGGGTGTAACGGGTGAGGAGAAAACACAGAAGATCTGGCGGCGTAGAGAGAGCAAAGGGCACATGCTGAAAATGCCAGTTGTTGATCAAGGTCTGCAGTGTGAGCGGAGGGTCTGGAGTGCTGGCGGGGATCTGCAACGGTATGGCGTACTGAGTAGTTCCATGATCCCAAATTTGATACCCCATATCGTCCCCCATCCTTGCCTGCCAGGATCCAAGGCTCAATGGTGGTTGGTTAAGAGCCTGCACATGGCAAGCAAATTCAAAAACATCATGTTGATGATGCACATTCCTCCAAGTTCTCAGCAGACGCCTCCAAGAGGGCAAGCGAGTGAGGTCACTCGTTTCCTTGCTCCAGATGGCGTCCCGCCAGGCCTGCATATGCAGCCCCCATGAGGATGTGATGGTCGGCGCAATCTGGGCACAGGCCCACGAGTATGCGAGTGCCCAGGAATTAATGTAGCAAAGATTAGACGGGTTGCTGAGCGCCCGGCACAGTATTCCAATCAGAGTCGCTTGGCCAGATCGTTGGCCAACTTCGAGCGCCGCAAGCTCTCCGGCCGCACCTGAAGGCCTATGAGTTGCAGGGCCGCAAGGCCGCGGCATATCTCCAAAAGATGCCAAATCTTCATGGAGTCCGGGTGACGAAGGCCCACATCGAGCAGAAACGCATGTACTTTGCTGTTGATGGTGCTCTCCTGTAGCCGCTGGGTCGAGTGAAAGCGAGAAACCGAGCCCTCCACTCTCACGACGGGGAGTGCCTGCTCGATGGCCTGGAGGATTGTCGTCGTCGTAACCGGGGGACGCTCCGCATCTACCCCGAGGCTCTTCGCACTTGGATTCCACCGCTGGTAGGTCCAGCCCTCTTCCTGGAGCCATCCCTGTTGTCTGGCCGTCTGCTGCTCTGTCTCTGAGGCTTGGACTTGCTGTAGTTTCGTGAGCAGCAGCTGAAAGAGTTGGTACAGCAAGACATTTCGGAGAGGGGCATGCTGCTGACGATTTTCCATTTGCGTGCGCCACTCCGCCGAGACCTTCAGAAGCAGCGGGAGCGGACTGCCCTGTCCTGCTTTCATGAACAGAACCCATCCAGTTGACTGCCGAAGAGCCTGGATGGACGCCTCTTGCCTCAGGACTAGCCTTGAGAGGAGATGGATAAGCGACTCTTCCTGGGCTTGTGTCACTCGACCCCCCTTTCCCCCCTCCTTCCGTGCAGCCTTTGGCGGTCTCCCGCTCATCTCCCCCTCTCTCTGGCGTGGTCCCTGACTCGACGAGGACAGCGTCAGCAGATGCTCTTGGACATTCACTGTTCCGAACATGCCCATCATTTCGGAGTCCAGGGCTTCCTCTGCCATCTTGGGACCTTAGGAAGAAGTGATAGAGTAGGAACTGCCAGAGAACAGTGCACTTAGCGCGGTGAGCCCTGGGATTAAGCAGCGTACTTCCACAGAATACGCACGGCGACCCAGGGGAGGGGAATTTGAGACTAGCCGCAGTTGCTTGGGCCTGATGCTGCAAGAACAGCTCAGGGTGAGCTTTCTGCCAGTGCACTTTCATCATGCGTGAGTGCACAATCCACTGACCACAGCGAGCACAGTGCTGGGCAAGCTTACGACGAGGCTCGTAGACGTAGATGGCATTTTGTCCTTTGGAACTGATTAGCTTTGAGAGTTGATCAGGGACAGCCCACATTGTTGCATCAAAGTTTGCCGGGGTGTCCGAGAGCTGTGTCGTCGCAGGCAATTCGGCTTGCAGCGAAGTTGTGCCCACAGGGGTCGTGCTTATCGACTTACCAGAATCAGGATGCATGATCTGGGGGGGTTTCGGGCTTAACTGATCATTACCTGGCACTTTAGGATGGGCAGGTGTGGGAACATCAGCTGTTGTGGTAGGACAGGCAGCCTGACTAGTGAGCACCTTACAATGCCCACCATTAATATGTGCTTTAAGCCCCGGCCACTTAGGGAACTTTTTGTGGCAGTATTTGCACTGCGGCAGCCCATGTAATGAGTCTCGTAGCTTGTGAAAGGTATGACCAATCTGAGTCACACGTTGGTGCTCTGGGTGTTTCTTGGCCTGATGAATGAGCACCGCCGAAGAGTTGGCGAAGTACAGCCCGCATATGCTGCATGCAGTGGCTTGACAGCTAGAGCCCTCTATTGCCTGAAGGGATCTCATCGGGGGTTCCTTCATGGATTGGTAGACATGTTCCCACCACGGGCAGTGTGGATGACACGCAAGTGGATCATGCGGCTTGGGCTGTTCATTGTCCATGGCTACTTGAAGCATCTTAACAGGTGACATCAAGCCATGCTTAGAGAGGAAGTCACTGTGTGAGACATGACTGATGTGAACCGGGTCCTTGTAGAGGCTGCGTAGTTGTCGCAGAATGGTGCTTGTTAGAAGGGCGGAGCTGGCCTCTGTCAGCCCACAGCTATTGAGGGAGTAGCTTATCGATGACCAAACGCAAGCTCTCCACAGTTCATACCGAATACGAGGACTGAGCGTGTGACGCCCTCTGAGGATCTTCACCATTCGCCAGAAGTTCGCCATGCCGCATGAGATCCTGTGTTTAAGCGTAAGCATCTCAAAGGGACCGTATGAGGCAATGGCGCCAAGATAGACAAATTGTGACACAAGAGGGATGTGAACATCACCTGAGAGATGCTGCAACCGAAGAGCTTTGCCCTCTGGGGTGTTTGCCGTAAATCGCTGACGCGCAGTCTGAGCCAGGGTGCCACGGAGCACTAGGATCGCTTTGGATTTTGTCGGGCTAAGAGTCATCCCGTGATTTTTCAGAAGCCTAAAGAGGAGTTTG